ATATCACTTAAAGACCTGAAAAATTTACTATAAGGATTTACTTTCAGGATCTCAATTAAAAGAATCAAAGTACATTCAATAAATTTTTTGAGATTCTCATATGATTCTGAAACTCATTATCTATATCATAAAAGTATAATTGCATATAAGAAGGTGCATTATTCTTTAGCATAAGTTGATTTACATAATAATATAATTGTCCTTGAATCCTAAATGTCTATATACCTCTGTATTCTTGAAATAATTCTTTGTTGTACTTTACACAAACGAAGTGAATGCAAAATGATTATTATATCACCTTGCAATTTTTTTGAACTCCATACATGTAGGTTCTTTAGAAGTGAACAAATTGAACAGTTCAACTGGTGATCGGGGCATAAAGAGTTTAACTTTTCCATCTGAACAACAGAAACCTTTAGTTTCTCTATAAAACTTTCGTGCACCACAATATTTATAATCGATATATGTTGGTAATGTATATGCAGTACTTGGTATACTTAACAGATCAGAACTCCCTTCTAATTTAGAATTCAAGACACACGATGTTTTCTGGTTTGAAGTATAAGCATTAGAATGCTGGTGTATTGTAGTTTCATGTACATGGGGGCAATGTTTAAACTATTATCTCCAGATAACATCGGGTTACTTATCCTCCTTCAACCATCAATGTGATGAATTTGAACTTGATTCTACCAATCCCTTTTTCTTTGAGCTCGTTGTTGGGAAATGAAGGCATTATAAGACTCATTTGTATTCTTTGAAACAACTTGAGGGTTAATAAAATGTTTTCTATTATCATTTATTTCTAAAATATCCATTAGAATAATAGAATAAATTCTGGAATAGTTGGAAGATCAGCGAGCAACAGAAAATGCAGAATGCTGTGTAAATTTATTAGCATATGTTAGATTATTCATACAGTAGAATTTAATTTTATAATATAAAAACTATCTAAAAGAATACTAAGTACAAACTCTATACAATGTGTGTTTTGCTAATCGTTTATAGGGTGATTGTTTAAAACTGAACATAAAGAATGTATTTAGAACATAACGACTACTATATGTGTTTTACTTAAGAATCCCTTGAAGAAAGTAAATGTCATATAAAATATGAACTTATTTTCAAATAAACATTACATACAGGAGGACCGTAAAAAAACTGACAAAAAGCTTTAGACAAGAACTGTAAAAGTTTAATAATAAGATGCTACTTAGACAAACTCCAACAAAGAAATTCTATTAGAGTTCCCATGAAGTCGCTTATGGCAGCACCCTCGGGGGAGTTGGTAGTGGTGACGACAGCGGCCTCCACAGTTAACGACTACTTCGCTAATTTCTTGTCTTAAAGATTAGGGAATCAATAAGATTTTTTGTGTAACTGTTGATAATGCCCCTTCTAACAATGTAGCATTACTGAGATTGAAGAG